ATAGTGGCGTTATGATTTCGATGGAGCACAACTTCTTTCAATAAAAAGGAAAAGATAATGTAAACTACTTTAAATTGTTTTCGTTTAAGTCCGTGCGGAAGCCGCTGCGGGTTTTCAGGTTGTGTGCCACTGGCTGGTTTTGAGAAGATGGCGTTTTACGCAGGAAGCTCAAGTACCTCTCCTGCTCGGATATTTTCGAAGATTTGTTGTGCGTAGACCTTGAAAAAGTGCAAGCAGGTGATCGCCAACGTGTCCGCGAGTACAAGAACGCGTTTCCCGGAGAAGTCGGTCGTGAAGTCCAGAAGACGGTCAGTAACAACACCGGAGTGTGCGCCAGTACTGTCGCGAAGTACAAGGCGCAGTGTCTATCTGGCAAGGTGGCGTCCTCGAAGCCAACACCTCGCCATGCAGAAGTTTCGAGCACGGAGACCGTCAAGCATGCCGAATTCACACACAACGCCATTCGCCTGAAGGTACGTTGCAAGTACCATGACAGGGGGATTCCTAGCCTTGACAGCTATTTCAAAATAAACTGTTCAGGCCACAACTATTGTCGTTTAACGTCCCATTATAAATTTTAGGACAAGGCTGCTATCACTGAGATGCCTCATTCCATGCTGCACGAAAGAAAATACAACTCGGTGCTGGAGGCAAATAACACTTGCAAAGCGGCAGAGCAGATGGTAGAAATGTGGCCTCTCGGCGACTTATAAATAAAAAGCAAGAAGAAAAAAGGAATTAAAATATGCAGTTCGGCAATGCCCACAATCTTGCAAAACAAATATGTCTAAAAAAGAAACAAAAAAACTGCGCGTCTAGTGGGTTCGAACCACTGCCGCCGAGACGTCGGTATCGCCAGAGCAGCGCTACCACTCGTTCACGAAACGCGCGGAGGAACACATTTTTTTTTCTTTATTTTCATGCGCACCGTTTCAGTACATCTGACAGCTTTGCACGCTATGTATGAAAAGGAGTATAAGTGCCCATTTTGAGAACCACACCACCAAACTGCGAGTCGAAGCAACGCCGATGGCTCACGTCTCGCAGCGCCGCCTGTTGAATAACCATTCGAAGAGTTTGCACACTGTGAACGTAAGAGCGTTCACACCGAAGATTTCTCTTTACAACGCCTACACACACACACAGAGCTCACAATTGAAGGGGAGCCACTGAGGTTTTAAGAGCCACTGATCGTAGTAATCGCATTCCAAAGACGCCGCGTTGTCGTAGATTGTTTTTCACCAGCTAGGTGCTGTAGGCATGAGGCCAAGGTCAAGGCTGGGTGATTCATCGTCGGAAACGTAAAGGAATCAAGCAAACTACGTGAGGCTCGCGGACGCGGTTCGTGGGAGCCGACGACGTCCAAGCCAGGATCCGAGCAGCCCTAGTAGCAGCCTTGCTTCTGAGAAGACTGGATATTCTTTCCGGCGGGCACCCAATACTTCGCATGCTTGCGGCTGATGTGGATTGCAGGAGGTGGCTAACAGGACGACCAATGCACAGAAAATAGGTTGAGCACGAGACTTGGACGTAGTTCAACTACTCTACTCAAACTACTGTAGTTTAACTACTTTTCCGAGTAACTTGGTAACTTTCAATTACAACTTTATTTGGGTAATTAGTAGTTTAATTTAACTACGTTTTTAAGGTAACTTCTACTCAAATTACTAACTACTTTTGAAATTTAATCCTTTTTTTTTTCATAACAGAAGTTTGAGCGCAGAAATAAATAAGACGCTGGCAGATTAAGTGGTATTCCCGAACAAGAAGCCCCCTCACATTCCGTTCCCACGCACTTATTCTCGGCAGCTGTAGAAACTGCATCACAGGCGTCCTGGGGCCAAGGTGGCGACGAGCAGCCAAAACATAACACCGGCGCGCACGAACGCCGGCAGAGATTCTTAACAAACCTTGGTCGGGTATTGACCTAATCCGGTAATCCACGCAGGCGCCGCACCTCCAGCTGCAACAGTGAAAGACGGGGACACTCCGAGGGTTGTTGTTGTTTTCATGTTGTGTACCTTTAGTGAGTTCCGACTTAAGTGGTAGGCTCCACGGTGGGCGCCACTAGAATGTCCTCGCAGCTGGGCGCCTGTCCTCATGGTCGCCTCGTCGTCAGCGCATGCTCCCTTCCGAAGCCGGACTCCCCCGCGCACAAACGCAGACACGGATAATCCGTTCATGGGAGCACGTTCCCGCTTCCCGCTTGTTCACGTAATCCTTCACGTCCGTCCGACCTTCCACGCCAGGGAGACCTCCTCTTTGTTGAAAAGGTTGTACTTGTCACCCTTGGGAGATCCTTTTGTTGGACCTAACGTCAGCGGCGAAAAGCATTTTTTTTTTCTCAGTGGCGTAGCATTAACATTGCAACGAGACGCGTAGTCATTCGGATGATCCCATCATCGTGGCGCGAGACTTGATCTCTTGACGGTCAGGTGCACTCGCTCGGCCAACTCTCCGGACGTCGTGAGAATAAAGAGGGGCCGGTCATAACAGTCTCAACTTGCCGAATAAAAAAAAGAAGGATGAGGAGAGTTTTGTTATAAAGGACCCTCTAGCCGAGGCAAGCCTCACATGTTTCGTCATGGACACCAAAGATGCCGACACTCGCTTACCCAAGCCTGCACAGCCTGCTTCTGATATTGAACGCTGCCTTTGCATACAGCGCCACGGTGGAACGCCTGTTTAGCTTGACTGAGGACGTCATTAGAAGGAAAAGGAGAAAACCCTCCGATAATAACTTTGAAAGACAATTAATTGCTTCTGCGAGCGAATAAACTATTTTGAAAGTCATAAAATGACTGCATTTATTTGAGTCTCGCAGGGTTTTTCACTGATCAAAACTGCTGTTGCTTTTGCTGCCACAAAAATATAAAAAAGTAACTTCGAAAGTAACTTAAAAGTAACTCGCTACTTTTTCGCAGTAGTTAGTACTTTACTCAATTACTATTACAAATGCGTAATTTCTACTCTACTCCAACTACTTTTGGCGTCAATACTCAGTAACTTAACTTAACTACCTTTTTTGAGTAATATGTACATGTCTGAGCACGACACAGCACGCACAGAGAACGATTATCGCCGCCATGTTGAAATAAAACCAAGCTGAGGCAGGCCAAGCTACAGTTTAGTACACAACGAAGCTGAGATAGGCGAAGGTTCAGTTTAGTACACAACCAACATACGTCATTACAAAGAATTAGATAAATGTTAAAACAAGTTTTTTTTTACGTTCAAAAGTTCTAATGTATGTCGACTAAAACAGGAAAATTCACGTTGCGTCAAATGAGTTTCTTCGTAACCACGGTCGTCGGAACCAGCGAACGCCGCCGCATCGCCATCGCCACCGTAACCAAAATCAAAAACAAAGCAAGCTGTAAGCTTTTGCGCGGTTTCAGGCCTTTAGGCTTTCAAAAACACATCCAAGAACGTTCTTCGAAAAACAAAAAGTGTCCCAGGTGCTGGCGTGCCCATGGAACCAGCTGTGGGTTTGAGTCTACTTGGCGAGTACTCGCCTATTCGTTTGACTTTGCAGTTCTTTCTTTTCGGAGCGTTTGTTAAGTGTCCTCGTGTGTGTGTGTGCAGGAAGCGTGAAGGCGAACGTGTAGGGCTCCTTGTCGCACACGTGCTTTGCGCATGGAAAGACCTTCGAGCTTTTCCTAAGTAAGTCCCGCAACCGACCTGTCACTGAGCGAGCAGTCAGATTGCGGGAACGCACACAGACGCGAAGGTCCCACCGAAGCCGGAGGGGGGGACGGGACTTCGTAAGTGTATTGGGAGCTTTATCTCGTGGATCGGTGGACAAGACGAGTTCTCCAAATCGGGTGTCGCCTTGGTACCACCCAACTAGGCGGTGTGTTTCGCGGACCCCATGACTGCTAAAGGTGCCCATTACGTGCTGGCGCTCGTATTTGCACCCTGTTTGTTTTTACTGCGGGTGTTCGAATTCAGGTTCAATTCTCTGCATTGATGATGTTGCTTGAGAAAGAGTATAAAGAGTTCTTTTTTGACTAGGGCACGAACTTTTTATACAAAATGCTGTATATGTTGCACTTATTTGCTAGCCCTCTGGCTGTAGTTTATTGTGAAGGTTCTGTGAAAAAAAAAGCGCATTGAGTAGTTACAATATATATATATATATATATACAGTCATGTCTCGTTAATATGGACGCCTCCGTTCCCCAGAAAAATCGTCCATAATGTGAATCGTCCATAATAACGAATCAAGGTCAAAAACACAAACATTAGGTAATAATTGTTAAAAAAAAAGCATTGTTTATTTCGCAAAGAACGAGGAGATATGAGTTTGCACTGACGCTTTCGATCCCACTTTAGTGTCCAAAAAGCGCAACACTTCGGCCACTTGAAGTGCACGTTCTCCGTCCCCCTCCTGCTCAAGGTAGGCGATTGCTGTCTCCAAGCCACGGCGAGCTTCACATCGAGTAACGGTTGGTCTCTCTTCTTCATCGTCTGTTTCTGTCGGCGCAAAGTTTTCGACAAGTTGATGACCCTGTTGAGCGGATTCACCGACAAGCTCCATGATCTGCTCGTCGCTCATAGGCTCCCAGCTGTTAGTCTCTTCGTCTATATCCAAGAATGCCGATGCCTCTTCATCTGGGTTTTTCTCCCCGAGTTGTCGAAGAGCTTCACGAAGGGCCGCGAGCGGAAGTTCATCCATCGGATCCTCCACCTCCATAGCAGAGCTGTTAACAAGAATACCTGCGTGACGCCAGCAGTTCACAATGGTTTGAGGCCTCACCGCGTCCCACGCCCTCTTCAGCTTTTGAAGGCACCACCTCAAGTCAACAGTTTGCGGTTCGTTGTCTTCCGCGCAAGCGATGTAGTGCCGCACAAGTTCACCTCTGTAGTGTGCCTTAACCGCGCGAATAATTCCTGCGTCCAAGGGCTGTATTTTGGCAGTCATGTTGGGTGGAAAGAACTTCAAGGTAAGGTTTTCATAGTCCGCACGAACAGAATGGCATGATGCGTTATCAACCAACAAAACAGCCCTCCTCTTCTCAGCCTCCAAGAAGCGGTCGAATTTCGCCAAGAAGATTTGAAACATCTTTCCTGTCATCCATGCTTTCTTGTTGCAATTGTAAGAGCAATACATGTTCGGGTCAAATGTCTTGCCAAAACATCGTGGTCGCTCCGCTTTTGCCACGACAATGGGCTTCCACTTGTGGGTGCCGCTTGCGTTGCACAAAAATCCCACCGTGATTCTCTCTTTGCTTCGCTTGTTTCCAGCCACAGGTTCGGATGCCAGAGTCGAAGATGGGCCCAACTTGTAAAAAAAGCCAGTCTCGTCGAAGTTGTAAATATCATCTGGAGAATACTGAGCAAGAAATTCCGCAAGCTGTTTCCGAGCACTGGCAACGGCGGCTGTATCCACACTTCCACTCTCTCCATGAATACGGTGGCTTGAAATTCCATGCCTTCTCTTAAACCTGCTTAGCCAACCCCTTGAGTAGTTCAGGTCATGAATGTCTGCATAAAGACGTGAAGATTGCAGACATTAAAATAAAACCACTGAAGAGAGAACAGTTATTTTAACGTAGATGCGTAATTGCACAAGAACGAGCAACTAGAAAAATCATTAGAAGAAACAACATTTTTGGGGAGGAATGCGTAACATTTTGAGAAAACATTTTCAAACTCAGTGCTTAAAAAGATACGCTCAGAACTGACTTACCCATCGTTGTGCCGAACTCCTTCGCCTTTTCTTGCAGCATCTCGTCGCTGACGGCGGCCCCTCTGGAGCGCATTTCCGCAAACCAGATGTTGGCGGCCTCCTCCAACTTCTCAAACTTTGGGGGTCGCTGCCGGCAGGAACTGGAGCTGGCTGTGGGAACGCTCATCCATTTCTTTGATTCTTTTAGAATTGCGTGGACTGTCGATTTTCCGAGATCAACGCCAAGGTTTTTTCCACTCCACTTTTCACGTACTGAACAGACGCTGAAGGCGTTTCAATTTTGAATTTGCATATCTCCTTTTTCAGCTGAGCAGAAAGCTCTGTCCATTTACGCTTAACACCTGTCATCGTCTCCACCTCCGAGATGACCGGAGAAGCGTCCAGCCTTGCCTCTTGCCTCTTATGCACAACGAATGTGATTCATCACGTATGCTAACCCGGAAGGAGATGGCATACGTTTAAGCTTGAAAGACAAGAAACAAAAAAAAAAAAAAAAAAAAAAAAAAAAAACGACCACCTTCAGGCGCGCAGCTCTTATCTCAAGGGCGGAGGACAATAGTGAATTCCGGGTACAAACTGTGACCTCTACGATTCACTAACCTTTTCTTCTGTCGGGTATGTGGACTCGCCTTCAAAGTAACCAGGCGGGGAACAAAAAGGCAATGGTGAATTCCGAGTAGTACACACTGGGGTCACTAATATTTTTTTTTCTTGGACACGTGTCCATATTAACGAGACAAAAATGCCTGTATTTCCCCGTTTCCTCCCCAAAATAGCCGTCCATAGTCCGGACTGCGGGTTTCTGTATTAACGGGACAGAATTGCATGGCGGGAGACCGGTCACCGAAAATTTCGTCCATATTGCGGGCTGTCCCGATTAACGGGGTCCATATTAACGAGACATGACTGTATATATATATATATATAAACGAATATGTGCAGATGAATGAACCGTAATAATTAATACAATGAATTAAAGAATCCAAGTTATATATATATATATATATATATATATATATATATATATATATATATATATATATATATATATCGGGCATGGTGGCGGGGGGCCGAAGGCGTGGGTATAGACTCCGGCCGAAACATCGAAGAACATCGAAAAATCGTCCGTTGTTGCTGTTTTCACTAAGGGTTCTTTTCTTATAGATATATATATATATATATATATCAGGGTGTCGAACCGGAACCGAACCGGTATTTTTTTCGGAACTGAACCCGAACCGTTATATTGTTATCGCGATGAACCCGAACCGGAACTGAACCGGAAAAAAAATAACGGTTACCGGCTAATGTCAAAACGGTTCGGCCACGCGCTGTTGACAATGAATGTGCTATCAATGCCATTTGTTTTCTAAGTGCCGTCAACTGACACCCACCTCGCTTACATATTTTTCTTCTCCACTCAGTCTTAGGAATATAAACGCTGCATCCATGAATCTTGACAGAGGAACCAGTATTGCGCTGGTCGCGGGTTGCACGGAAGAAAAAGAATTGGAAGGATGTGCAAAAACAAAAATCGCGTCACGGGTGTTTATTTTTCTACAATCTCGTAAATCCTAAATGCTGCTGTGTGCTCATTTCATAACACGTTTCTAGAACGCGCGAGTTCTTGAAGCTCGCTTCCATCGGAATGAGAAAAGAAAAGGCTGTTGAGTTTGATAATAATGCATCCGGTTTCGTATAGGCACTTAGAAGCTAACATATTTGTGAGACAGCGAACTCTTCTATTTTAATATTTGTCCTATTACGTCCTTCTGGCGTTGCGTTCGGTGAAGTGTTTTTCATATTCCGTATCTTGTTTAATGAAAACTTCTTTAAGGGTCTAATTTGAGTTACTGAATGCTAGTTCAAATGAAGAAACCTGTATTTTCTCCCCACTGTTCCTTCAATTGCTTACACGCCGAGGTGGAGGGATAGTTAGTGAGTTCTACTTGTAAGTGGGTTTGTAAGGAGGTCGCGGATTTTACAGCTACTGCGTCGGACCCAATTAGATGAAGTCCAAATGCGTAAACGTCGGTGAGGTAACCTTTGAGTGCACATAAAGAAACCATTCCTAGTAGAAATCCCCGAGCCTTACAATACGATGTATCCCGTTTCGTATGTGCTGATTTCAGATGTTTTATTTGTAATTTATTTTGATGTTGCAATTTGTCATTTATAATTTCCGAACCGGTTCGCGAATCGGTTCAGCGCCCCGAACCGGTTCGTGAACCGGTTCGCGGATCGAATTAATCGAACCGGAACTGAACCGGAACAAAATAAATTTACCTGAACCTGAACCGTAACCGAACCCGTATTTTTTTCGGTTCGACACACTGATATATATATATAATATATATATATATATAATGTACAGTCGAGTACCGTCCGACGGCACTTTTGCAGAACGTTCACGTGCCGTGCAATGGCACTCCACTCGCGTCTTCAAGTGCCGTCCGAATGTCTAATGTAAAGCGAATTGTCAAAACGAGTTTTTCGAAGTTGACGCGTGGAAAGTGTAGCGTAGCTCGCCTCATAGGCAGCGGGCCCGGGTTCGATCGACAGTGTGGGCTTACTTTTTTAAATCTATTCTCGAACATTTTGTTTCGTCGAGGCATTTGGCGATAGTTGCGACATTGCTTTTTTACCATTAACACTGGAAAAAAAAAGGATGTTGTCGACGAAACTTTGCTTAAAAGGCCCTGCAACAACTTTTTGACTGGTTTTTAATTTGCACCGAACTTGAGCGCACTGAACGTAGTAACTTAAAGAAACTTTTGTTTTCTCAAATTTCGCTTTATTTCAAAAGTTATAGGCAATTTAGAATTGCAAAACAAGCGAAAAATAACCTCCTTCATGACGTCGTAGGTCCTGGCTTGAGTGGCCGTGAACTAGAGGAGGAGTAGTGAGCTCATCGAGCGCTCACGGCTGCTGCACTCCGTGTCGACGGCTCGAGAGGGCGCCACTAAAGCACATGTTCGATAGGCTGTATGAAGCGGGAGGCCAGGGCGGCTCGCATTGCATTTGCTGCGCGATTAGGGACTAATTTGGCATAACACTTCATTGGCCGCAAACTACAGCAAACACGGTGTAAGGATCAGTTCAGAACGGGAGCCACTTCGCGCTGCCATACCGCCAAATCGCCAGCCAAGCCCGCGCCAAAAGCCTTCGGAACGCTCGGAACCGGTCGGATCCTCGAGCCGGTATACGACCGCAGCGCCGCCGCGTACATCCGGGACCTTTCTACGCTCGCTGTTCGTCGGACCCTAATCCCACTAGCCTTTTCTAGTATGCGCCGTTTTTTCCGCCGCTTGGTGGCGGGTTTGTCGACGAGTCTTTTCTTGTTTCCGCACTTTATAAACTGCATTTGTTTCTTTTCTGATCTAAATTACCGAACAAAAACTACTTTCATACATAATTCAAACGGTTTGCGACACTTATATTTTGTATTTCGACTAAAAAAAGCGTTTAGCGGCTCTGACCAGTAGTAAGCCCAGGACCAAAGACGTCACATATTGCACGCTTTCGGCAACGTGGGTCGCCCTCGTAGGTGGAGGAGGTTTCCGCGTCTTCCGGTTAAAATATGTCTCACTGATATTTAGTTACTCTCTCCGTGACCGCTGGCTTGCCCGAACCCCAAGAGACGTGGAAACCGCAAAAAAAAGATAGGCGCTTAAATATGATGGCAGGGCCCCTTTAACAAAATGGTATGGGCGTCCCTTTCCGGAGGTACATAGGGGACAGCGGGGCTTGGTCAAGGAACAGAGGGGCTGGACGCTGCGAAGCGTCATGTGCAACGGGGCCAAGTAGGTTAATAGTTTTGTAACTAGCAGCCGCATACTGTTGCAGCGGGGCGGTATGAATGTATGCAAGGGGTTGGCTAACGAGCTTCCCAGGGATACATGTACTGTTCGACTTTTGGCTGTCTACAGTGCCGTCCGACTTGGTCGGACGGCACTGTAGACAGCCAAAAAAACAACAGAAAACGAGGTGTTTCGAACAACTTTCTTGAAGAGGTCATGAACTGATTTTTCGACTACTTCCTCGTCAGCTTTTCTCCTCAGCACATAACCAAAGTGAGAAAACATGTGGTCGTATTTCACTGAAACCCAAAGTTCTGCCAGCAGTCTGAGAACCGGCACGGACAAAGCCCTACATAAATTTCACACTTCACATTCTTGCGAGCGCCGACAACCATGAAGGGAGCGACGATACAAGCGATGGCGACCCTTTTTGCTATCGCTCAGCCGCACGACGAGGCACACTGCATGAAAGCGACAGGAGCAAGCGACCAATGCGATGAGCGACGTTTTCTAGTAATTCAAGAACCGAGCAGCGTTACAAGCGACAGTGAGAAATATCCGTCGCTGTTGCCGATGCTCCTCTCGTTGCTCGATAAATCGCTTACATGCGGTGCAGCCTTAATTGTCTCAAAGCGAGAGACACGTGCACGAGTGAGTGTCGTGCTGCCACTCACTTCCAAGTGCCTCTCATTTCAGGGCTACACTGCCATTTTCTTCTAAGCCCTGCACGGGCCTCCTGCTCAGGCGCTTTGATGCCACTTACGAAACTAGCACAAACTCATCAAGGGGTTTTAGGCGGGGTTAGCCATCCGGTGTGTTTGCCGCACCATTCTTTTCGGTGTCTGGACAGTCCACAGTCACTTCACAGTCACAAGTTGGGACGTCATGACGACAGCGGCACTTGTGCCTGCTTGTCTTATTCACCAGAGGTTTGAAGACCAACTGCAGACTTTCGACAGCATGACACTTTCGGTTTCATAACATCATTGTTGCTTCCTTGGGACAACTCTTGATACATGGGAGGAACAGGATGGCAGTTGCACCAGTGGGGAATACGCCCAGGCACCATACCGGTACTAAAACTCTCTTGAGCACCTGTTTATTTATGATTATCTTTACACTTGCAGCGTTACCTCCGAGGCGGGGTTTCCCTACCAAAAGAAAAATTTGACTGGGCCATAGGTAAGGCCAAGTTCGACTCGCGCTGCTGATCCTGTTGTCCCGCTGCCTCTACAAGGGCGAGGACCTGGTCAGTAGGAGTGTGACAGGCCAACCTACCAGGCGTGACAAAGTATGGCGCCGTGGGAAGGAAGCCTATTACACCTGGCAAAGTGGATCCAATTGCAGGTGCGTGCCTTGCTGCATGTCCACCTTCCCGGCTCTAAACTATGTAGCAATTCGCAGGTTCAGCACCGTGCATTAT